TTGCCCGGCGCTGCTATGCACGTACTCGATGTGTCCCAGCCTGGAGGAGGCGGAAAACAGCGAGCGTACCCTTTCAGGCGTGAGGCGAACATGCTCATTACTCTTAGTCATTATGTTTTATGTTGTCTGCTTATTTCGCCCTCTCTCCACTCGTTGTAGCGTCTTGTAACCATTGCATAGCTGATGAACCACTTGTCAATGTTGCTATATACGGCTCTAATAAAACACGTTTTTAGATTTATTTTATAGAAATATAAGCAAAAAAACATCAAAATGCCGAAACAAAGTTATTGCCATTCAAGTGGTAGCCAAAACAGGATGGTTTTCACAGAAAAACAGTCGATACCCCATTCCAAAAATTTCGGCCCCATTCTGCATCACGCTAATTTCATGTCCAATCCAGATTCATGTTATCTATGGAAGAGCATATGTCAGCTATTTTTGGGGGGTAACGCGCATTTAAACTTGTTTGTTGGTCTTGGGTCAAATAGGTAAATCACTAGAAATATCTAAATACCTAAGCCTCGGAAGGTGGGATTTTACTATGTACAAAGTGGTTTGCAAGGAGTCATTTTGGATAAAATGGACATGTATATTGTACGTAGCTTTCATTGATCCTTTGGAGGACTGAATTCAGTGGATAGCTTAAGAATTACCAGATTTTTTTAGACCGGATTCAAGATCACTGTTCAGTGTGATAAGCTTGGCCTGGGAGGGCGAAGTCAGCGTATCCCAGTCTGTTGCTGAGTTGAAGGCTTACTGCTGTCCATCCACTTCAGGAAGCAGCTAGGTATTCACGTGTGCTTTGAGGACGACGCACTGAGTAGTTTGTCTAACATGCATATTTGTCACATGTTGCCGATCGCGTCCCAGAGGCGATTTTACAGGGACGAAATCAGTTGCAGAAAGGGGGGCCAAATCCCATTTTGCCCCCCTCCTAAACCTGATTTTGGCCCGGTTGCCCCCCCCCCCTTGGATCCGCCAGTGATGTAAACCACGACATCTGCGTGCGCTGATTCTAGTTAGCGATTAGCTAGGGGTCCAGGCTGGATCCAGACTCGGTTTGAGGGTGGGGGGGGGGGGGACTCATGGCCGGCCCGATCCCCGCCAGTCAAAGCTGCTGAGCAGAGGGGGGAGGTGTAGGAAAGTCCAATATGATGCCACAAAAGACCTGCATATTTTCTATAGGTATATTCGTATATATTGGCATCAGCACTCAGCAGGGTGTCCCCCGAGATGTGAGTGATTTTTATCGATTCATCGAATAATTGAGGATATGTAGTTAGGGTTTTAAATGACCTTTTCCTCGATAATTAATTGGAAATTCAATAAAAAGTAAATATTATATTCTTTGGCAAATTTTCGCAGAGCCTATTTTAAGGGAATTTGACTGGGGGGGCAGCCTGGAAAATTGTCTCTAATAATCCATCAACCCTCGCCCGTATTGGTATTTTCCAGCTGCGAACGTATATGGGGGGGGGGGGTCCGTTGGACCTTCCCCCTTGCCGTTTCGACCCTGCTCGAGCTAGAGCTTCGTGGAAAAAACGACCGTGTTGCCCGTGATGAAAGGAAGCCGATGATACCCAATTTTAACCCTCGCCGACCCTCGCCGACACAGGGGGGGGGGGGTTGATGCAACCCCCTAAGGTTTTTTTCGCGAATAACTCGCGGAAAAGCTGCCGATTGCAACGAAACTTTCAGTACCCTCGCATTTATCAATTTTACACCTACCCTGAAAATTTCATGACCCTGACCCAAATGACCTTTGACCGGTGACCTACTTTCCGAGACCATGTTTGGCCGGAATCACGATTCGGCGTATGTCGACTCGCATTAGCCGCGCTTTTGCAAGCTTTTCGTGCTTTCAAACGTTCAAACATGTGATTTGATGTTGCTCCCATGCATTAGGGTGGATGTCAAGGTCACCTGAAGGTCAGGTCAGGTCAGTGACCTTTGATGACCTCGGTTCACTTTTTCGAGTTTTACATGTTTCTAGGCCAGTTTTTGGAGCTGAATTCGAATTTAGCAGCCCGATGAACATTTACGAAGCCTAGTTTTAGTGCCTTTGTAACATGTTACGAAGCTGTCAGAGGCGGTTGACACCTACTAGGAATACCCGGCAGGACCCCTACTGGTTGACCTGACCTGACCTGACCCGACCTGGACTAAATGCATGAAGACATCATCTGTGATCAAAACTCACATGATATCATTCGGATCAGCACCCCGAAAAACCCCATAGCAGCCACACTTTACGACGTTCTAACAGGTCCCGATTTTCCCGATTTTCGGGTCATTGACCTGACCTGGAAGGTCACCCGATGACCTAGGACATTAAAATTGGATATCATCGGCTTCCTCTCGTGACGGGCAGCACGCTCGTTTTTTCCGCGAAGCTCTAGCTCGATCAGGGGCCAAACGCGAGGGGGGGTCGTACCAACCCCCCCTTGTGCCGTCGAAGGACGCAAAATGGCCTGTGCCGGCGAGTGTTAAGGTTCTAGGTCGTCATCACTTGACCTTCCAGGTCAGGTCAATGACCCAAAAGTCGGGAAAATCGAGACCTATTAGAGCATCGTAAAGGGTGGCTGCTATGTTTTTTCGGGGTGATGATCACGAATATCATGTTAGTTATGATTATAGATGATGTCTTTATGCATTTAGGCCAGGTCGGGTCAGGTCAGGTCAGGTCAACCAGTAAGGGTTTTGCCGGGTGTTCGTAGTAGGTGGCAACCGCCTCTGACAGCCTCGTAACATGTTACGAAGGCACCAAAACTACTTCGCAAACGGTCAAATGGTTGCTAAATTCGAATTTAGCTCCAAAAACTAGCCTAGAATCTTATAGAAATCGAAAATGTGAACCGAGGTCATCAAAGGTAAATGACCTGACCTGACCTTCCGGTGACCTTGACACCCACCCTAATGCATGGGAGCAACATCATATCCCATGTTTGAACGTTTGAAACCACGAAAAGACTGCAAACGAGCGGCTAATGCGAGGCGACATGCGCCGAATCGCAATCCCGGCCAAACATGGTGCCATGGTGCTAGGCCGCCGGTGCATCTGAAAGAACTGTGGGTGCCCCTGACAAGCCTGAAGTTTCAACGACAGGCCCGTGGTGCCCCTGACAGGCCCATGATGCCCTTGCGAGGCCGTTGGTGTCCCTGCTAGGCCGGTGGTGCCTCTGCTAGGCCGCTGGTGCCCCTGGGCCCTGAGAGGACTGTGGTGCTCCTGACAAGCCTGGAGTGTCCCCGACAGGCACGTGGTGCCACTTACAGGCCCAAGATGTCCCTGCGAGGCCGGTGGTGCCCCTGCCAGGCATGTGGTGTCCCTGCTAGGCCTCTGGTTCCCCTGACAGGCCTGTGGTGTCCCCTGGCCCTGACAAGCTTGAGGTGCCCCCGACAGGCCCGTGGTGTCGCTGACAGGTCCGTGGTGCCCTTGCTAGGCCTGTGGTGCCTCTGGCAGGCCTGTGGTGCCCCTGGCGGGCCTGTGGTGGTATCCCTGACAGGCCCAAGGTGGCGCCCCTGCGAGGCCGGTGGGGCCTCTGGCAGGTCTGTGGTGCCCCTGGCAGACCTATGGTGCTCTTCCTAGGTCGATGGTGCTCCCAACAGGTCTGTGGTGCCCCTGACAGGCCGGTGGTGCCCCAGGCAGGCCTGTGGTGTCCCCGGGCCAAAGGGGGCGGGGGTCATAACCCATATGACCCACCATTGGATCCACCACTGGTCATTACTTGCAGACTGACTCATTTGACATCCATTGCAAAACAAGTCACAGTTGTATGTTTGTCACCGTGTTCCTTTATGCCCATTTTTATAGTGGGCACATCTCGACGACTGGGGGGCAATTCTGTTGAGTGCGGGGGCATTTGCCCCCCCAGTTAACATGTTAAAATAGGCCCTGAATTTTCGAACAACAGTTCATTTTCAAGCCACATGAAACAAAAACAAACAGTTGTCAACTGTTTCATGTGGCTTGAAAATGAACTGTTGTTCGAAAATTTGCCAAACAATATAATATTTACTTTTTATTGAATTTCCAATTAATTATCGAGGAAAAGGTCATTTAAAATCCTAACTACATATATCAAGATGTTCCTCGCTAGAGCACTGCATACTATTTCTTCATAATAATTGAGGATACCTTTCTCAAATTACCTATCATGCAAAACAAGAATCAATAAAACGTTTTCTTCCAAAAATAGACAGGTGGGACTCCTCAGAGACCAATGTAGCTGCAGTTGAACAACTCAGGAGTAAAGTCGCGCGTGGAGCCCTATGCTAGTCAACTGGAAGGACCCAAAGGCCCCAAAAGAGCCGGCCTACGGCTCCCGGAGAATGGTGTAGGCCCTCAGGAGCCCGCCAGTGACCCCATGAGTGATACGTGAGGAGTACCAAGTGCCTGAAAGTGCTTAACCACTTAAGATATGATATATTGTGGATACCAATTGTTAACATTATTCATATCAGTCGCTGAACGTTTCAAGGCGATCGTTCATTCGGTGTAGCTAAAGCCGAGCATTTTTAGTTTTTTTTTTTCGAGGTGAGGTCACTGGGACGGACCTGGTGACCTCCATTTTTAAAGACATAAAGATCTGAACTTTTAACATGTGCAGAAAAGATGTATTTTTATAAATTTAGTATAACAGGTCCTGATTTCCCCACCTTTGGGTTACTGACCAGACCTAGAAGGTCAACCAATGACCAAGGACCTTAAAATCGAGTATCATCGGCTTCTTCTCGTCACAGGCAACACGATCGCTTTTTCCGCGAAGCTCTAGCTTGATCAGGGGCGAAACGGCCAGGGGTTGGACCAATCCTGCTAGGGATGAAGACTTTCTGAGCACCTAATGAAAAATACCGTAAAATGAGAAACCCTACTCTCAGTGTTTATGTTCCATGCTAATGCGATTTGGTTCTAGCGATCCGACGGCCAGGCATCTCTGGCCCCTGGATGTATGGAAGGGAGGGGTACTGACGGCCCTCTGGTGACGCGTGTGTGGCAGGCAGCAGCATGAGCAGAGGACAGCGCGCCTGACCGCAGAGCGCATGGAGAGCGTTAGCCGCCAGGGCGCCACTCGCCAGCAGCTTAGCGACGCCGAGCGCCAGCATGCCGCCCTCCAGGTTTGTCCGCGCGCGGCACAGCTCCAGCACTATCTAACCACGGGCGTGATCCCCTCCACTCTGCCGACCCTTCCTTCGCTACACGCCGTTCCACTATGCGGGCACTTGACTCCACTCCACTCCACTACACTCCGTGTGACCGACAGACATTCCAGTCCACACTGCTCCACTCTGCTCAACTCCGAGCTATAGCTCGACCGGTCGCACAGAGTCTGCCCCTGTTTACGAGCCTGATGTTCAGAAAAGATTTTCCCGATAAGCGAGAAGTGCGCAACTTTTTAATCGGGCCTCCTTCCAACGGGCTTTAGTTTAAAGGGTTCACTTCCCTGAAATTAGTTTTTGCAATGGATTTATGAATTTTTGTGCTTAAAATGATGAAAAGTAAAATAAAGCCTTTTTTTATAAAAAAAAGATTATTTTCTTTGTTTAATATAGGAACAACTATGTCTATTCTATATAAAATGTTACCTATTTGACGCGACAGCTTTTTACGCGTTGACCAATCATATTGCGTAGTTCCTGTTCAAACCTACCTATGCATGCTGCATTGGCTGTGAGCATCATGCTGATTGACTGACGATGACGTGGCTGCATTTCTCAGACCCATTCCTCTACAAGGTTCCCTTTATGGAACGAGAAATTGAGATAACTCGGCTTTATCGGACAGTTTCGTGGTCTTTATTGCGACTGCTTCAGCGAATTGCATTGTCACATTTGTCACATTTTCACAATATTTCAAAATTGGCGATGGGAAGTACACATGCGCCATAAAAATCGCTACCGTAAAGTGGGGCTATTTGAGGCAGTGGGGTTATTTGAGACAGTATTAAAAATCGCTCAAAAATGAAGATCGTTTGATTTGTGTGTGATATTTTTGCTCAGGGAGGTGTGGAATCGAGCAGTAAATCGCCTGAGCAAAAAAGTAAGCATAAATTTTAAGTGGTTTTTATTTTATGGCAGTTTTAAATACTGTCTCAAATAGCCCCACCTTACGGTACCTCTTTCTGATGATCCCAAGACACAATAACAAATATAAAATAGCAGAGACACAATGTATGCATCAGGGTATATTGAATTAGGGGGTAGGACCAAGTTTAGTAGGCATGATCTCAGCAATTATCTTGTTTTATATGGCGGTTTTCATTATCACAATATTATTTTTGATATCATGATGTTTGTATATCTCGGTTTTACGAAAAATAGTAGGGCAACAAAGATAAATTTCGCGAAAAAATACTTTTAGTTGGAAACATCCATTCTGGTATGCAAAATTCAGTATGAAGCCCAGTATGGTGACCGTCTAGTGTGCTTCCAAGGCTGAGTACCTGATATCAACAGTTGTTTACTATTTTGCCTTACGTTGCTACCTAGTTGCTAGGGAGCTAAGGATACTCTCTTGCGCGATCATTTACAGTTATTTTTCCTCATGATATCGATATGTTGCTGTTTCTGAGACCTAACTCATGCTAAGAAAAAAGCAGTTTATCTTAAAATGTGTATTTAAGTGCCGTAGTATTAACACAGCTCTGCAATTCTGCTTAAATATCTGCAAAATTCTGACTTCCCGGAAAATTGTTGGTGGTGATGGGGATCGAGCCCGTCGATAAAAAGTAAGTCAATATTCACAGGCTTCAAAACGTTATTTCTTGTTGTTTTGTGAAATAGCAATGCAAAGACCGATGATACACTCAGAGAAATATTTACCCTAAAATATGGGTATTTCACGAGTACCAAATCGGTACTATATTTACGGGTCCTTTAACGCCGAGAAAACGTTTATATCTACTCAGTCAGTAGTCAGTGTTAGACTACCTAAACTGATTGTATCACATGACCTGTTTTATTGTATACATACCAGCTATTCTTAGCTATCTTTACCTAAAAAATCCGGGTTTTTCACGAGTACCAAATCGGTACTAGTTTTACGGGTTATCCTACCTCCAGAAAACGAGTATCAATACCCTTCATTGTTTCGCATGAACTATTATTACGTACAAATACCAGCGATTCTAGGGTATTACTAGCCACAAAATCCGGGTATTTTTGGAGTACCAAATCGGTACTACATTTACGGGTTATCCTACGCCGAGAAAACAGGTAGCTCAACCTTTTTGCGTCAAAATACCGAATTTATTTGTGTCACATGACCTCACACGTATACGTATCGAATTTGTTTGTGTCACATAACCTGCTCACACGTATACGTACCAGTGATTCTTGGTATTGTTACCTTTAAAGCCTTAAACTTATCCGAAAGTTATAAGGTACTTTAACACCATGCTTTATTTGTGCTACACTTGTCGCAGTTTGCTATAAATAGAACAAAACAATGATATGTCAAACGGAGTTCGCTTGTTTATTGGGTTCCAACGAGATGGACAGAACCGGATGAAGATCATCGATTTAATTAGGGAACATGTCATGACAAACAAATGATCAGATTTTTCGCATGATGTGGACACAGTCCCTTCCCGCCTACGGCTGTCGTCAGCTGGCGGTCAACCGACCGGTGAGCATTGCCCCGTCCCGTAATGCAAGGTCTATACTCCCATTCGTACCTGTAACACCGCGTACGACACTCCACTTTTATGGCGCAATGCGCGATATCCGACGGCCCTGGCAGTTAGCTTGTTCGGTCGTCGATCCCCATTTGTCGGCCGGTTCAGGTTGTCCTGACGCTGGCCGACACTCAGCGTTGCAGTCAGCCAGGATCTGGTCTGGCCTCTGGATCCCAGTGCTGTTCCTTGACCGCGTTTCTTGTCATCCCAGCCCAGTGCTGTTTCTTGTTGATTTGAAGGCTTGGTGCCCTTGCACAACACGATCCACCACCACACTCGCCCGGGAAAGAAAGTCACGTAGCTCACTTCCACAATAAACCACGTGAAACGCGAACCGACCCCCACCGGACACGATTTGGTAGCCGAGGTCTGTGACGTCAGCTGGGCGTGAAGTTTTCCCTTCACCATAGGCTTTGCACACAAACTGGCCAAAGTTCATGCCTGGATAGCCAAGCCTGAAGGGCAACAAATGATTACATTTTGCCCTTATTAGATTCAGCGCTTCATTTTATAACTGAAAACGTCCGTTATTAGGCCTCTATGGAGGTAAAAAGTACTCGAAATCGAAGTTCAAGAAGATGCTGTCCGAGCACAATCTGGTAACATCACGTGACTTCTTTTCAACAGATTATATATAATTTAAGGATATATTTACACGATTTCTGCCTAAAACATCATAAATAGTACACTTTTAATATTTATTACTTCTATTTAAGTCATAACATTGTAAAACGCAAAGTTTATCATTTTAGTCACGTGACCAAGGGTATAGCAGGGGGTTGGGACAAACACTCAAAGGATTTCAAGTTTTGTAATTAAGTTATAAAAGTTTCATATTGAAATTGAAAGACTGTATTTTTTGCTTATAAAATACAAATTTTCGTTTGTAGAATATTTTCCTTAAAGGCGAAATTCTCCATATAAGAAATGTCCGTGACGTCACCAGGGCTTTACTCAAAACACCCGACCTACCTGTTTCTTTTAGGTATCTTGACGCGAACAGCACTCGCCGTGCGGCTCCCAGCCTCACACACCCACCACGCCGGCAACGGCGGTTCAAACTGGCTCATACTGAAAGCATGCGCGCCAAACACAAAACGCGGAACGATGATTGGTGGAGAGGAACACCCTTCTGCGCATGCGCGACCTAGGCCACGCCCCCTGTTAAAATTACTCACAAAAGGTAAATCTACCTTTAAAAAATAAGGAGTCAGAAAATCACATTTAAGTACTTATACATACACCCTTACGAGTTGATGCATGTTACAGGTACCTGTTTTTCAATAACAAGTAGTAGAAAAACATGCTGGTAGAGTAGCCCTACACCACCGTTTCTGGTTTGTTAGGTAGAGGTACCCTCTCTTCTGGGTAATGGTACCCGAATCTGCATGGTACTGTAAACCCATATATCAGGTACATTTGCTACAATGTGTGTAAAAAAGAACCATAGGTGTACAGAGACCCAAAATAAATGGTGTATAATTATTTCTGTCCGAGTTTTAATATCCGGAGAAATCGGGATACCGGTACCCATAAGTGTAAAATTACCCGTAGAGGGGTAAATTTTTATCTGTGTGTAGTGCCAGTGTTGAGCTTTCCAATGAAGCATTGCAATTAATAGTAAGGTTATTATCACCTAAGATATTTTCCATCAAATATTAGAATTCTGCCATTGTCTTGCTGTAGAACAGGATTACTTTCAGTCTCTTGGGAACACGATTTGCCGGTCTCAGATAGAAAAACACTTCAAAAAGCGGTAATAGACAATGAAATTTCCCACCTGATAGCATCTCGGGTTTTTATATATCCTGTCTAGAATTTTCATAAATAAGACGTAAAAATGGCCAATTTCGTCAGATTCCGAATTTTTGCCATTGGGTCTAATGTAAAGCATGGCTACTTTCAGTCTCTTGGGAACACGATTTCCGTACCTCAGATTAAAAAACACTTCAAAAGTCGCAGATAGTAGACGATTTAATCTACAAGATAGCATCTCGCTTTTATCTGTATCTGGTCATGTATCTTCATAAAACCCTCTCAAATATAGTCAATTTAGCATTAGTCTATGGATTTAGAAGAATTTTCATATCCGACTAGATTTGGGCTACCATGTCTGTTGACCGGGGGCCGGTATGCATAGTGTGTCTTGTTATACACAGCAGACATATAGCATAGGTACAGCTACCATACACACTTGTACAAATGTCGTAAATTGTCGATTCGGTCGTCGTTTATAGTGGGCAAATTTGATAACAATCGATTAACATAAATCATCATGTGTCATACAAACCCATAATACGGATATCGATCGAAGCCTAAACATAATTGTCAGTCCATGCATTGCTAGCTAGTAGTAGTGATCAGCGAGTGGAAATTATCACCTTTGTACAATTCTCCTGTGTACAATTCTGTGTACAATTCTCCCTCCCTTTTGTGTGTGCC